GAATGATATAATAATAGTACAATACATACAATACAATACAAGAGTTACTCACAGTCCGGACACACAAAGAACAAACTAGAACAGAACAGTACACAGAAAAATCGTATCACACATATGAATATAAATATAGATGTAAATATAGATATAAATGTATTGCACAGGTCCCTGGCATATATTGCACAAAAAACAGTTGTAGCCGGGGAAGGACAAAGAAAGAGAACGGATGTAGCAGTAGATGTATTGTATGTTTAGAGTTCTGTAGCATTCCAGTGAATGCTGTGTGTCAATATAGACACTTACAGTCTTGCGCCCTTCATATACAGTGCCCATAAAAAGTATTCACCCCCCTTGGACTTCTTAACATTTTATTGTGTTACGGCATGGAACCCTGATGTACTTAACTGAGAATTTTTGCCACTCATCAACACAAAGTACTCTATAATGTCTGGATTATTTTTCACTTTGACATTTTACTAAATTAATTAAAAATAAACTGGAAATAATTTAATGCATTAGTATTCACCCCCTTGCTTTGACACACCTAAATTACCTCTGAAGTGACCAGCTCTCTTCTCCAAGTCACAGAATTACTTGACTGGAGTCCACCTCTGTGAAGTTGAGGTGTTTCACATGATTTCAGAATAAATACACCTCCTGGGAGCTTCCCCACTTAGTTAGTTCATTTCTGAGGAAATACTAAACTACACCATGAAGACCAGGGAGCATTCCAAAATACCAGTCAGGGAAAGGATATAAGAAAATTGCCCAGGCATTAAATATACCTCGAAGCACAGTGCAGTCCATCATTAAAAAGGTGAGAAAATATGGAACAACTGTGAATCTGCCCAGAACTGGCCGTCCTCAAACACTGAGTGTCCGGGCAAGAAGAGCCATAGTAAGGGAGGCCACCAAGAGGCCTACGACAACTCTGATGGAGTTACAGTCCTCCATGACAGAGATGGGAGAAACTGTGCATGAGACAACGATAGCACGCACAGTTCATAAATCTGGCATGTATGGAAGGGTGGCAAGAAGAAAGCCTTTGTTGGGGAAAAAAACTCATATCACATCTCGACTGGAGTTTGCCCAAAGGCATGTGAGAGGCGCAACAATTTGGAGAAAGATTCTATGGTATGATGAGACCAAAACTGAACTTTTGGGCCTCAATGCGAAGCGCTACGTTTGGTGCAAACTTAACACAGCACATCACACCGAGAACACCATCCGTGCAGTGAAGCATGGTGGTGGCAGCATCATGCTTTGGGGATGCTTCTCTGTGGCAGGGACTGGAAAACACATAAAGATAGGAGGAAAAATGGATGGAGCCAAGTACAGAAAAATCCTAGAGGA